AATTGAAATTTATAAGCCAGTAACTAGTCGAACTCATTGAACTTAGTCGAGAACACATTATGCTAGAATCGAGTTCCTCTATAATCATCTACACTAAAATTCAGGTACATTCAGCTAAAGGTTCCCAAAAAGGACAAAACTCTCATCCTATATTCTAATGCAAACCATTATTCAATTATACTTATAAACATTAATTTTAAATCCTCATTACTTTTTTTAAAAATTTTCTTCCAATAGGTGGGACACTATTTAATATTATTGGATTATCAAGTGATTATCAACAAAATTTCACTGGTTGTATTGCTGATATGCTTATTCAAGAGAAAATTATACCAATCTTATCAGAAGCAACAGAAATACACGGTCCTATTGAAAGATGTAAAACACCATGAAATAAATAAATAATATAAACAAACATATTCTATTGGATGAGTTGAATAGGAAAAATTATTAAAACTTAGATAATGAATTATTTATTTGTAAATGAAAATGAACCTACAAAAACTAAAAAGAATCCTTTGTGTTGTATAAATCAATAAATCAATAAATAAACACATCAATTATTTATTCATTTTAATAAACTATGACACTTAGGTAAAATGCCAACTTATGATATTTTATTGATATCCTCAAGAAAATAATCAATACTTTCCTTTTATTTTTCTCTTTCCTCGCCCCCCCCCTCTTTCTCTTTCTCTCTGTAGTTCAATGATGATTATCTATTGTTGCTTGTGTTATTCGTTTTTTTTTGTCGTTTCATTTTAATCTTCATCTATCCATTTTTGTTGTTGTGATTGTTGTTGTTGCTCAAAATTTCAATGTTACAACTAATTCATTGAACTCTTGAATCTTTTACGAATCCATATCTAAACACCAAATATTGAAAAAAAAATATATTGATTCTTTGTTTTATTTTAAATCAAATTAGATTTTTCAATATTGCCATGGATACAAATCAAAATTGATTACGTAATGTGAATTTGTTTAAATATTATGCAATCATTCATTGTCATACATATAAATATATATATATTAGTGATTTTTTTAATTATAAAACATTCATATAGCGCACACATACTGTAATTGAACATTTGCACAAATAGATATTTATATTATCAAATTACTTATTACTATAAAACAGTTTACTTTGTCATAATAATTTTGGCATAAAGATACACCATATACCCTATTTTACATATTAATTATATAGATTTTAATATTTTTAATGTCATATTCATGATCATCATAACATTAAATAATTAAAAAAAGAAAGATTTAATTTCATGTTATCAGAAGAGGGTTTTGTGGAAATTTTAGTAATTTCAATGGTTGAGATCATGAGTCAGTTGAAGCTAGACCAACATAAAATACCTGGAAGCATTAGATGGCCGTTTAGACCTAGTATGGGACTTCTCAGCAGTGCGCATCCACGATCCCGCCGCCCCCCCCCTTCCGCGTGAGCGCTTAACCATTAGACCACTGAGTCGGCCGGCATCCAACGGCGGAATCGTGGATGCGCACTGCTGAGAAGTCCCATATTACGACGAAACGGCCGTCCTCTGTTTCCAGGTTCTCTATTGTGGTCTAGCATCACTTAACTCATGATTTCAACTATTAATTTCATGAGCACAGATGGATAGTGGCTAGCAATGGAATCAAGAACGCGTGTTTCATTCTATTTGGGACTCGTCAGATGGATGTACTTGCATCTCAGAGTTGATGTTCACTCTGGGACTCAAACTCAGTACCGTCCGCTTCAAACGCCATCGCGTTATCCACTTAGCTACTGAGTCCTAATACCCATCAATGGGAAGATTCAAGTAAAACAATACCAAGTGAATTATTAATTTCATATTGTTTATCGAGGGTTTCATGAAAAATATCAAAATATTAAAGGGAAAGTATCTTTTTTTAAAAACTACATATACGTAATACATTTTACTAAACATTTTAGTTCTATTGGTTTTTAACTTATCTATTTGGTAAACAAACAAACAAAAAAAGTGAAATGGGCGAAAACATTTCTATTATTGGTTTGTTTTTGACTATCATGTTACTACTACATGTTTTACAAATTATCATGAAATAAATACCAATCAAATTATGACTAGTTAACTAATTAATATAATTTGGAATTCAAATATTAACAATACTTAAGTATGGAAACAAGATATGATAAGTGTTGTGTTGATACAAAGAATGACAGTTCACTTGCAAGTTCTTCTACCCATTGAATAGACTGTTACTTACTTACTTATTAACGCCTGTTCCTCCTTGTGGAGTAACATAGGCCACCCACCAGCATTCTACACCCAACTCTGTACTGCACAATCCTTTCCAGCTATTTCCAGTTCCAGTTGCTATTCATCCATTTCATATCTCCTTCCAATTCTCCACTCCATGTGCTATCTCGTCTTACACATTTCCATTGCATTTCACGATTCCATGTTAGCGCTTGCTTCGTGATGAAGCCTGGTGATTTCTACAATCTATGTCCTATCCACTTCAAACATCTCCTCCTCATTTCCTCCACAGCTAGCTCGAAGTTGGATTGTTCTGTCCCATAGTAGGTTGTTACTCATGGTATCTGGCCAATCGACATTGAGTATCTCGAGTAGACAACTATTTATAAATAATTGCACCTTCTTCATGATGGTTGTGGTAGTTCTCGAAGTTTCAACTCCGGACAGTAGAACTGACTGTCTTGACGTAAGTATTGAGCATTATGACTTTGATATTGGTTGACAGTTGTTTTGAGTCGCATATGTTCTTCAACTGTAGGAATACTATCCTGGCTTTGCCAATCCTCGCCTTCACTTCTGCATCACATCCTCATTCTCCATCGATGATGCCGGCAACCAGACACGTGAAACTTCCCACTTCTTCCAGAGATTCTCCATCAAGTGTGATTAGGTTGGTGTTCGCCGTGTTGTATTTGAGTGTGTTGCTTTCTCCCTTAACTCCGCCGGAAGTCCCTCCAGAGGCTACTGCCGGTCCCAAGCCCGGATAAAAGAGGAGGGTTGGACATGGGGTTAGCGTCCCCATCCCGTAGAAAACTAACTCGCTAAAAAAACGCTAACCAGAAAAAATTATTCGAACCTTTTAAGTAAACTTTCTCGCTTGTGTATGTTGAGGCATACCACTACACTAGTTGTCTTCATCTGCATTTGTTCGTGTGTATGGGATAGGAGGGCTAGGTCATGTGAGAAGTACAAATCGTGTAATTAGTTCTGAGCTGTCCATTTAAAAAATGGAATACAATGGACAGCTGAGAACGCTAACCAGAATAAACAGTTACAAAATATTATAGGTGATATCGAGGAAAGAGTTAATGAGGGTGGTTGTACATATTTCGACTGAGCGTAAACATCCGGTATTTTACCATAGAGAACGATAACTTTAGCCATGCTCAATAGACACTTACGTAAACTATTGAGAAAACTAAAATAAATCACTTGAAATGCCTCATATAAATCCATTCGTTGTCCAATGTCTATTGAGTTAATGGTAGTAGACAGATTTGACTGTATGTTTGAGCTATCTGAGGTACTCTTGTAGGAAATCTTATAAAGTGTTAAGGAACCTTTTAAGTCTAGACTTCAACTGATAATCACAACGGTCTCGTCTAACGAATGATGAAAACCAAGGTAAACTATATCGATATTTGGCTATATAACGTTAGTTTGGATCCAAAACGTTGGATTTAAGAACACTCCTGGTCTTCCCTTGTGAAATTTAACTTTAATTGGAGGATGCTTAATCACTCCTTATGTTAAGTCTTTGTTGTTTCAAAGGATTTCCCACATCCGGTAGCAACATCGTGTAACAGTCTCATGATCCGGTTACGCATAGTTATTATTATATTTGTGTAATCGACCTGAAGTACCAGATCAGTCGTATTTCACGAATATTAATCCAGTGGATCTCATATCTCAGACTATTTTCGACACTGTGGAAAAGAGTATAAACGGTCACTTCATGACACCGCCTGTGTGATCTACCCTATCCAAATTGTTTATAACATTATCATTTCATGATGTGTAGCTAACTTGTCTGTCCCATTTAGTATTGTTTCTTGTCAGTGATATAAAAACCTAATGGTTCTGGATGCATAGGACAAAGTGAAAGAAATCAAAGTGATTAATGACCACACCTTAATTTCTTTGTATATTCTTCATGAATGAGCCGCGTTAGCGAGAGGAAACAAATCTACCTAATTCCGTTCTTAATTTTACTGTACTCTTTGATATTCTTGTTTTTATCATTATAATCATTCTGAATCAATCATTTCTTTACAAAACTCATGCACTTCTGACCATTGAAATAGATAAGGTTTTATCGAGATTGCTAAATTTTCATATTTTACTTCACATAATGATCTTAGTTAGACAACCTAGAAGTATTGGATAGCTGTTTCATCCTAATATAGACCCCCTTAGAAATATGCACCCACAACCCTAACATTAAAGAGTCGAAACTACAAACTTCAGTTTCATGAGCTAGCACTTAATCTTTTGATCACTGATCTGGAATCCAATGGTATACAACACGTCTGGACTTAATTAATCTTTCTTATTTTCAATAAATAGTATCCAAACCCAAGATGTTTGCCTATAAATGAAGGAATCATAACTAGGGTCAGGAGCCTAGTTATCACTTTTCTTTTTCTTTTAAATTGAAAAGTACGCAGTCTGATCATAAGAGAAAATCTTTTCGAAATTTCCATTCAAAGAAAAAATATACATTATTGAGCAGATACATATATATATATATATATATATATATATAACATATGAACAGATACAATTGAAGATTGTTACGTGGAAACAATGAGAAATTAGAAAAATACAAGCTCACATATTAAATCGATGACTAGTGTCATTGATCTTTGTTGACAAACAGTAAATTGTTCACAAATAATATAACTATTCATACATGTTTACATGTATGAGTTTTATTTAACTATTTCTATTTCTCTTTTTTTGAAATGCCATCGACAACAACAATAACAAAGTGTAGGAAAAATATAAACATTGTCTATAGTGATAATTACATGTTTAGTTTGTATAATTTTGTTAATTATTAGAAATATTCACATTGGAAGTTGTTATATTACTGGTAACAATAATACTGGTTGATGTAGAAAGGTCAACATTATTATTATTATTACTGGTAATAGTTGAAACAGTAGGATTATTCACTGGAGCACTACTACTAATACTACTGATCATGACAGTCCCATTACTAGTTGTTGGATTGTGAACTGGATTGCTGACAACAAGTTGAGTAGATGAAGTATTAGTATTAGTATTAGTAGTGGTGGCAGCAGTATTAGTAGTAGTACTGTTAATTGATATTATGTTAGTATTTAAACTATTACTATTAATATTAGTAGTAGTATTAGTGTTGGTAATAGTATTAGTATTGCTTTGATTCATAACAAAGAGGCATTCAGCCATACATTCATAGGAGGCGCGATAATCTTCCAATGTAACACCAAATCCTTGACGTATACGCCAATCATGGAGTAAGGGAGCAATACGATTCTATGGATAGAAACCAAAATGATGAGAAAACTTTAACAAAGGGAGAATTTTTAACGAGAAAAATTTAATGGAATCAAGCGAGTGATTTTGAAATCGATTCTCAGTGTTCTAATGAAAAGTTACAACTGGTGAAGTTGAACTATATGAAGAGCGAGATTAACAGTATCATTGATAGCATTGAATATTTATATCGCTATACGGAGAATCGACTAGAATTGAAAGTGTGGACTGTTTGATTTCAATTAAGTGGTCGAAAGATAGCGCTCATGCCGTTAAACCTTAAGATGCTAAGGAGAATCCAATCCCTAGTGAGGTCGTGAGGGTACATTGTTGAGTTTCAGGCTAGAACAAAATCCTTATCCAATAGGCTACTTATCCGTAACCTTTTTAATAACCAATAAGTCACGTATGCCCTGCGCTTTTAGTTACTTTTAAATCTACTTAATAATATAAGTGATGCATATTAGAGTGCAGTTTTTACTAAAGACTTTATCTCAAGTATTTGTAATTATCCATAACTGTCTAGTACTATAAGCAACTTTTGACAGTGGGATTCTGTCTAGATTTCGGGTGTTATCTTTAGGGGAGTTCATGATGTGAGAAATGAAGGACACGAACATTGGAATCGTCAATGCCCAATCTACCTTAGGTTATCTTATTGATACATTTAATTTGAAACTAGTGATGGTTTATGGGCTAAGGTGTTCGACTTTCAACAATTAAGTCCCAGGTCCAAACCACACCCGACCTACTTTGATTTGGACAACTGTGGGTGGGAGTAGTACTATTATTCCTCAGACTTAGTGTTCCATACTCAAGTACCTGATGAATTAATTAATTTAAATGTTAAATTACGAAGAAAATTATAAAGAAAACGTTGCCCTCACATCAAGAAATTAACATGCCAGTATAGCACAGATGAAATTTTGGATGACAAACATATGTTTGTGTTTGAAATAAAATCTCTATTGAAAAAGACACTAATATATGCAGTATTTAACTATTAAATAAACGGAAAAATGATTAAGTGTTGAGTTCAAAGAAACTTATTGAATATTGAAAACGTTGCGGATAACTTGAGCTGTTCAATTACTCTAGGTCATAAACGGCTTTTCAGTTAATCTTAGTCTGTAAACTTTACATGTTTTCCACCATTTAATGATACAATTGCAATTTCCAAAATAAGCCCATAACCTAATGAGCATACTTCGCTCTTGTTTACTAACATTTACGCAAATTTCAATGGTTGAAATCATGAGTAAATTGAAGCTACATCATCATGATATACCTGGAAGCACTGGACGGCCGTTTCGTCCTAGTATGTGACTCCTCAGCAGTAAGCATTCACAATCCCGTCTCGCAAGATTCAAACCCAGGATCTATCAGTCTCGCGCGCGAACGCTTAACCATTAGACCACTGAGCCGGCATCCAGCGGTGTTAATATCTAACTCCAACGAATCCACGAAGTTGCGCCACCGTACACCATTGTCTTCAGTGAGTTGATAACTCACAGCAGACCTGGTTGAACTCCACTAGTAACGGCTTCTCACTAGAACTCCACGAAATGCCTCTTGAAGTCAGTCACCAGTGAGCAGATGATTATTATTAAAAGGGGTTTTGTGGAGAGTTTTTTAGAAATTTCAATGGTTGAAATCATGAGTCAGTTAAAGCTAGATCAACAAAAAATACCTGGGAGCACTGGAAGGCCGTTTCGTCCTAGTATGGGACTCCTCAGCAATGCGCATCCACGATCCCGCTCCCCGCGAGATTCGAACCCAGAACCTATCAGTTTCGAAACGGCCGTCCAGTACTTCCAAGTTATCCATAGTGGTCTAGCTTCAAATTGACTCATGATTCCAGCCATTGAAATTTCCAAAAAGAAATCTCCACAAAACCCTTTCTAATTTACACAAATATCTCTTTCTATAATTTGAATTAAACTCAATCTATATAATAATGAATTGTTAATCACAGATATTCTGATGAATTTCCACAATCATTATGTTGTGAAGTTTGTAATTTTATTAATGAAACAGAGTATCCTCGGATATTTAACGCTTAAAATTTAAGTCATTCAGAATTTAATAGCTCAAATTTTAACTGAATCTTAAGTCTTATTTTACTTTAATGGTTGTTATTCAGTCATAGTCAACATAAAGACCAGCAAAAATTTGCGTTGACCGAAGCTGTCACACCATATTAGTCCGACCAAACGAAATGAACAAGATTAATAGCAAAGGAATCGAAATAATGTAGTAGCAAGAATACCAAGAAGATGGTTCGAAAAAAACAAAATGGAAGGATATGTATGAAGCAAAACTGAAACCGAAGGTCAAGAGGAAGATAAATAGTCCATGTATTTGAACTACTGTGATCAATTCTAAGTAACATCACCTAAAGTCTTCAACTACTGATTGCTACTATCGCGTGGGCCCCAACAAGGTAAACTATATCTATCAACATGGCTCATATCAATAGTCCACAACTTCATGAACTGATGCCATGTTTTGGTTAAGCCGCTCTTAACTTCCTTAACTTACTCCTGTACCAGTTGACATCATTCATCGAGGTAAATGATAATTAGGCACAAGTAACATACATCTTATCCACCTTAGTCGACAATAAGTCGCAGTCTCAACAACCAATTTATCATGTTTGCCAAATGTACCTCCTATGGTCTAACCTCAAAATCATTATATTTAAAAATTGGTTGAATTTAGTATATAATAACAATTTAAGACATAAACGAAATGTATAAGAACAAACTAACCGTCATCATAACTTTAAGAAAATCAAATGAACGTTGATCAACTGGTAAAAGTTTTACGCCTAAACTTAACGAAAGCACTGGATGTTGTTGTTGTTGTGTAGGCTTTAAATCATTACTTCCTGAAGTATTCAATTCATTTAATTCATTTAACGTAAGATTTGATTCTGTTAATTTAGTTAAACGGTGACATAAAGAAGACAATAATGGAAATACCATCATTCGTAAACATTGTGCACCGAATTCAGCTAATGCAACAATTATACCATATAATGTATTCATTGAATGTATAGCACTGCCTAAACTAGGTCCATTGTTATTATTATTAGTATTGGAATTACCAGTTGTAGTATTAATACTACTACTATTATTATGACTAGTAGTAGTGGTAATCGCAGTCAATGTTGTATTTGTAAGTGAATTGGTTAAACGATCACTTTCATATTTACATAGTTTCGTTTCATCCGACTTTTCATCATCTGTATATTTTGATAGCTCACTTTTAACAATTATTGGTACATTAGGATTTGATAATTTCATACAAGTTTCTGTAGAATTATTAGAGGTATAACCGCCATCAATCCAATTGCATAAAGCACGCGAAAGTTCACGGGTAACACGACCGTATAATTCATTACTAGATGTATTATGCCTGAATAATTATTATATTAAATAGATAGAAAAAACAATATATGGCAAATTGTAATCGTCTATTATTATTATACTGATTTAAAACATGAATTACGAAAACAAATAAGTCATATTATAATAATCAAATATTCCTAGACCATCCTGAGCATAATAGAAAGAAAAGCCTAATGAATCATCCAACATGAACCATTTTAACAAATATCCACGCATTCAATCCTGTTCACATTCCATACCACTAATAAATATACAAATATTCTTAACCTTACTCTTCAAAATTACAGATATCACATTTTCCACATCCACTAACACACATACACACACAAATAAGTCTCACACAGAATCAGTTCGACTGAAATAACAGGACATTGACTTGATCAAGTCGATGTTAATTTTGATTGCACTGAAAATATTTGTGCTTTATATTTTTTGTACTTTGTAAACTTGTGTTTATTGAATTTGTTATTTAATTTTATTCTCTGAAGAAATTACTTACATACTTGCATACGCTTGCTAACCATCATGGAAGAGCATAGACCACTCACCAGCATTCTACACCCAACTCTGTACTGCACAATCCTTTTCAGCTATTTCCAGTTCCAGTTGCTATTCATCCATTTCATATCTCCTTCCAATTCTCCACTCCATGTGCTATCTCGTCTTACACATTTCCATTGCATTTCACGATTCCATGTTAGCGCTTGCTTCGTGATGAAGCCTGGTGATTTCTACAATCTATGTCCTATCCACTTCAAACATCTCCTCCTCATTTCCTCCACAGCTAGCTCGAAGTTGGATTGTTCTGTCCCATAGTAGGTTGTTACTCATGGTATCTGGCCAATCGACATTGAGTATCTCGAGTAGACAACTATTTATAAATAATTGCACCTTCTTCATGATGGTTGTGGTAGTTCTCGAAGTTTCAACTCCGGACAGTAGAACTGACTGTCTTGACGTAAGTATTGAGCATTATGACTTTGATATTGGTTGACAGTTGTTTTGAGTCGCATATGTTCTTCAACTGTAGGAATACTATCCTGGCTTTGCCAATCCTCGCCTTCACTTCTGCATCACATCCTCATTCTCCATCGATGATGCCGGCAACCAGACACGTGAAACTTCCCACTTCTTCCAGAGATTCTCCATCAAGTGTGATTAGGTTGGTGTTCGCCGTGTTGTATTTGAGTGTGTTGCTTTCTCCCTTAACTCCGCCGGAAGTCCCTCCAGAGGCTACTGCCGGTCCCAAGCCCGGATAAAAGAGGAGGGTTGGACATGGGGTTAGCGTCCCCATCCCGTAGAAAACTAACTCGCTAAAAAAACGCTAACCAGAAAAAATTATTCGAACCTTTTAAGTAAACTTTCTCGCTTGTGTATGTTGAGGCATACCACTACACTAGTTGTCTTCATCTGCATTTGTTCGTGTGTATGGGATAGGAGGGCTAGGTCATGTGAGAAGTACAAATCGTGTAATTAGTTCTGAGCTGTCCATTTAAAAAATGGAATACAATGGACAGCTGAGAACGCTAACCAGAATAAACAGTTACAAAATATTATAGGTGATATCGAGGAAAGAGTTAATGAGGGTGGTTGTACATATTTCGACTGAGCGTAAACATCCGGTATTTTACCATAGAGAACGATAACTTTAGCCATGCTCAATAGACACTTACGTAAACTATTGAGAAAACTAAAATAAATCACTTGAAATGCCTCATATAAATCCATTCGTTGTCCAATGTCTATTGAGTTAATGGTAGTAGACAGATTTGACTGTATGTTTGAGCTATCTGAGGTACTCTTGTAGGAAATCTTATAAAGTGTTAAGGAACCTTTTAAGTCTAGACTTCAACTGATAATCACAACGGTCTCGTCTAACGAATGATGAAAACCAAGGTAAACTATATCGATATTTGGCTATATAACGTTAGTTTGGATCCAAAACGTTGGATTTAAGAACACTCCTGGTCTTCCCTTGTGAAATTTAACTTTAATTGGAGGATGCTTAATCACTCCTTATGTTAAGTCTTTGTTGTTTCAAAGGATTTCCCACATCCGGTAGCAACATCGTGTAACAGTCTCATGATCCGGTTACGCATAGTTATTATTATATTTGTGTAATCGACCTGAAGTACCAGATCAGTCGTATTTCACGAATATTAATCCAGTGGATCTCATATCTCAGACTATTTTCGACACTGTGGAAAAGAGTATAAACGGTCACTTCATGACACCGCCTGTGTGATCTACCCTATCCAAATTGTTTATAACATTATCATTTCATGATGTGTAGCTAACTTGTCTGTCCCATTTAGTATTGTTTCTTGTCAGTGATATAAAAACCTAATGGTTCTGGATGCATAGGACAAAGTGAAAGAAATCAAAGTGATTAATGACCACACCTTAATTTCTTTGTATATTCTTCATGAATGAGCCGCGTTAGCGAGAGGAAACAAATCTACCTAATTCCGTTCTTAATTTTACTGTACTCTTTGATATTCTTGTTTTTATCATTATAATCATTCTGAATCAATCATTTCTTTACAAAACTCATGCACTTCTGACCATTGAAATAGATAAGGTTTTATCGAGATTGCTAAATTTTCATATTTTACTTCACATAATGATCTTAGTTAGACAACCTAGAAGTATTGGATAGCTGTTTCATCCTAATATAGACCCCCTTAGAAATATGCACCCACAACCCTAACATTAAAGAGTCGAAACTACAAACTTCAGTTTCATGAGCTAGCACTTAATCTTTTGATCACTGATCTGGAATCCAATGGTATACAACACGTCTGGACTTAATTAATCTTTCTTATTTTCAATAAATAGTATCCAAACCCAAGATGTTTGCCTATAAATGAAGGAATCATAACTAGGGTCAGGAGCCTAGTTATCACTTTTCTTTTTCTTTTAAATTGAAAAGTACGCAGTCTGATCATAAGAGAAAATCTTTTCGAAATTTCCATTCAAAGAAAAAATATACATTATTGAGCAGATACATATATATATATATATATATATATAACATATGAACAGATACAATTGAAGATTGTTACGTGGAAACAATGAGGAATTAGAAAAATACAAGCTCACATATTAAATCGATGACTAGTGTCATTGATCTTTGTTGACAAACAGTAAATTGTTCACAAATAATATAACTATTCATACATGTTTACATGTATGAGTTTTATTTAACTATTTCTATTTCTCTTTTTTTGAAATGCCATCGACAACAACAATAACAAAGTGTAGGAAAAATATAAACATTGTCTATAGTGATAATTACATGTTTAGTTTGTATAATTTTGTTAATTATTAGAAATATTCACATTGGAAGTTGTTATATTACTGGTAACAATAATACTGGTTGATGTAGAAAGGTCAACATTATTATTATTATTACTGGTAATAGTTGAAACAGTAGGATTATTCACTGGAGCACTACTACTAATACTACTGATCATGACAGTCCCATTACTAGTTGTTGGATTGTGAACTGGATTGCTGACAACAAGTTGAGTAGATGAAGTATTAGTATTAGTATTAGTAGTGGTGGCAGCAGTATTAGTAGTAGTACTGTTAATTGATATTATGTTAGTATTTAAACTATTACTATTAATATTAGTAGTAGTATTAGTGTTGGTAATAGTATTAGTATTGCTTTGATTCATAACAAAGAGGCATTCAGCCATACATTCATAGGAGGCGCGATAATCTTCCAATGTAACACCAAATCCTTGACGTATACGCCAATCATGGAGTAAGGGAGCAATACGATTCTATGGATAGAAACCAAAATGATGAGAAAACTTTAACAAAGGGAGAATTTTTAACGAGAAAAATTTAATGGAATCAAGCGAGTGATTTTGAAATCGATTCTCAGTGTTCTAATGAAAAGTTACAACTGGTGAAGTTGAACTATATGAAGAGCGAGATTAACAGTATCATTGATAGCATTGAATATTTATATCGCTATACGGAGAATCGACTAGAATTGAAAGTGTGGACTGTTTGATTTCAATTAAGTGGTCGAAAGATAGCGCTCATGCCGTTAAACCTTAAGATGCTAAGGAGAATCCAATCCCTAGTGAGGTCGTGAGGGTACATTGTTGAGTTTCAGGCTAGAACAAAATCCTTATCCAATAGGCTACTTATCCGTAACCTTTTTAATAACCAATAAGTCACGTATGCCCTGCGCTTTTAGTTACTTTTAAATCTACTTAATAATATAAGTGATGCATATTAGAGTGCAGTTTTTACTAAAGACTTTATCTCAAGTATTTGTAATTATCCATAACTGTCTAGTACTATAAGCAACTTTTGACAGTGGGATTCTGTCTAGATTTCGGGTGTTATCTTTAGGGGAGTTCATGATGTGAGAAATGAAGGACACGAACATTGGAATCGTCAATGCCCAATCTACCTTAGGTTATCTTATTGATACATTTAATTTGAAACTAGTGATGGTTTATGGGCTAAGGTGTTCGACTTTCAACAATTAAGTCCCAGGTCCAAACCACACCCGACCTACTTTGATTTGGACAACTGTGGGTGGGAGTAGTACTATTATTCCTCAGACTTAGTGTTCCATACTCAAGTACCTGATGAATTAATTAATTTAAATGTTAAATTACGAAGAAAATTATAAAGAAAACGTTGCCCTCACATCAAGAAATTAACATGCCAGTATAGCACAGATGAAATTTTGGATGACAAACATATGTTTGTGTTTGAAATAAAATCTCTATTGAAAAAGACACTAATATATGCAGTATTTAACTATTAAATAAACGGAAAAATGATTAAGTGTTGAGTTCAAAGAAACTTATTGAATATTGAAAACGTTGCGGATAACTTGAGCTGTTCAATTACTCTAGGTCATAAACGGCTTTTCAGTTAATCTTAGTCTGTAAACTTTACATGTTTTCCACCATTTAATGATACAATTGCAATTTCCAAAATAAGCCCATAACCTAATGAGCATACTTCGCTCTTGTTTACTAACATTTACGCAAATTTCAATGGTTGAAATCATGAGTAAATTGAAGCTACATCATCATGATATACCTGGAAGCACTGGACGGCCGTTTCGTCCTAGTATGTGACTCCTCAGCAGTAAGCATTCACAATCCCGTCTCGCAAGATTCAAACCCAGGATCTATCAGTCTCGCGCGCGAACGCTTAACCATTAGACCACTGAGCCGGCATCCAGCGGTGTTAATATCTAACTCCAACGAATCCACGAAGTTGCGCCACCGTACACCATTGTCTTCAGTGAGTTGATAACTCACAGCAGACCTGGTTGAACTCCACTAGTAACGGCTTCTCACTAGAACTCCACGAAATGCCTCTTGAAGTCAGTCACCAGTGAGCAGATGATTATTATTAAAAGGGGTTTTGTGGAGAGTTTTTTAGAAATTTCAATGGTTGAAATCATGAGTCAGTTAAAGCTAGATCAACAAAAAATACCTGGGAGCACTGGAAGGCCGTTTCGTCCTAGTATGGGACTCCTCAGCAATGCGCATCCACGATCCCGCTCCCCGCGAGATTCGAACCCAGAACCTATCAGTTTCGAAACGGCCGTCCAGTACTTCCAAGTTATCCATAGTGGTCTAGCTTCAAATTGACTCATGATTCCAGCCATTGAAATTTCCAAAAAGAAATCTCCACAAAACCCTTTCTAATTTACACAAATATCTCTTTCTATAATTTGAATTAAACTCAATCTATATAATAATGAATTGTTAATCACAGATATTCTGATGAATTTCCACAATCATTATGTTGTGAAGTTTGTAATTTTATTAATGAAACAGAGTATCCTCGGATATTTAACGCTTAAAATTTAAGTCATTCAGAATTTAATAGCTCAAATTTTAACTGAATCTTAAGTCTTATTTTACTTTAATGGTTGTTATTCAGTCATAGTCAACATAAAGACCAGCAAAAATTTGCGTTGACCGAAGCTGTCACACCATATTAGTCCGACCAAACGAAATGAACAAGATTAATAGCAAAGGAATCGAAATAATGTAGTAGCAAGAATACCAAGAAGATGGTTCGAAAAAAACAAAATGGAAGGATATGTATGAAGCAAAACTGAAACCGAAGGTCAAGAGGAAGATAAATAGTCCATGTATTTGAACTACTGTGATCAATTCTAAGTAACATCACCTAAAGTCTTCAACTACTGATTGCTACTATCGCGTGGGCCCCAACAAGGTAAACTATATCTATCAACATGGCTCATATCAATAGTCCACAACTTCATGAACTGATGCCATGTTTTGGTTAAGCCGCTCTTAACTTCCTTAACTTACTCCTGTACCAGTTGACATCATTCATCGAGGTAAATGATAATTAGGCACAAGTAACATACATCTTATCCACCTTAGTCGACAATAAGTCGCAGTCTCAACAACCAATTTATCATGTTTGCCAAATGTACCTCCTATGGTCTAACCTCAAAATCATTATATTTAAAAATTGGTTGAATTTAGTATATAATAACAATTTAAGACATAAACGAAATGTATAAGAACAAACTAACCGTCATCATAACTTTAAGAAAATCAAATGAACGTTGATCAACTGGTAAAAGTTTTACGCCTAAACTTAACGAAAGCACTGGATGTTGTTGTTGT